GGGTTCAATCCTTAGCACCACATACAAATTAAAATAAAGGCAGTCTGTCCATCTACAACTACAAAAAAAAAAAATTAAAAAAAAAAAAAGAGTGAGCAAAGATATTTAGAATCCTTTTATTGAGTTTCCCTGTATATGTTCTAATAGGGAAACAAGGAGAAAAAGAAATTACATGAAGTCAGCCTCTAGACATCCCTCTTACTGGAAGCTGATTCTGTAAATAATTCTGATTGGATTTTATCCAAGGTAAAGGCAAAGGGGAAGGCATTGTTTGATGACATGTGGCAGTAGGCTGAGAATTTTCACCTTGGAGATTATATGCTGAACATAACGGATGTCCTTGTCATCAAGTTTAAGCACAGCTTGTCTAAACATCCTTTTACCTACTTGTGAACAAAATGCTGTTCAGTGTTTTGGGCCAGTTGTCCTTGAACTTTCTCGATGATACAACATGAAACCTAATTTCTGTGGAACAGAATTGGCCACCTTACTTCTGAAGTGACTTTTGTTAACATATCCTGAGTGTCCCAATGACAACTTAACCTCAGGAAAACTTAACATCAGACAGCTACCCATGTCTGACAGAGAGTGGCACCATGGATACATTTTGGGTCCTCTTATTCTGTATGACTTTTTCCCAATGAATAAATCAGGACTTCTGATTCTGAGTTTTCTCTGTAACAATATATTTTTTTTAATGGACTCAAATCCAAGATAACTATAAGTCAAATACAACTGTCTAGATAGTTCCAAATATTTGTGGTCCTGGGGATAGAACCCAGGGCCTCATGCCTGCTAGATAAGTACTCTGCCACCGAGTTCCATTCCTAGTCCTTATTTTTATTTTTTTAAAATTTTGAGATAGGGTCTTGCTAAGTTGCCGAGGCTGGCCTTGAACTTGAAATGCTCCTGCCTTATCTCTGAGCATCTGGTATTACATGCTGCACTGCCACACCTGGCTGATAATTCAGAATATTTGAATAGCAAAATTTATATTATTTTTGCCAGGACACTTTAAAGTTTCATAAGATTAGTGAGAATGAACAGAGAAGGTTATTTGAATCAGTTTATTAGGCATTTGGTCTCTTCCACAAGGTACTATCTTTGGGGAAAGGGCCAGGAGTCCAGTTGTCAAGGGGATGGAGTTGCATTTATGAGTCAGACAGGCTTTCATTTTTCCCTGAAGCACAAGTTTTGTGTGGTGGGAATTATGAGGGCTGCCTTGATTGGGATGCATCAAAACATTTTATATGTAGAAAAAGATCGGAGAATTCGTAGGCACAGAGGAGTGTGGGACTGTGAAAGTAAGTGTTAGGAGATGACATTGAGGGCTGGGGCCGGGGATCAGCAGTAGAACACTTGCCTAACACGTGTGAGGCCCTGGGTTCAAACCTCAGCACCACATAAAAATGAATAAACTAAAGCAAAGATATTGTGTACAACTAAAAAGAAATATATATATATTAAAAAGGAGATGATGTTGAAGCATTGGGGAAAGTTGTAGTGGAAATTCAGTGGGAAAAGGTAAGAACAGTGGGCGTGTTTATGTGGAGCTGCATGTAAAGCAGGTGAAACCGGGGAAAGCATGAGCATTTGAACTACAGCCCTTTTCACTTGACTTCAGGCCTCAGCTGTCATGAAGGAAGGACTGACTATCGGTAATGCAGCCAAGCAAGGTTCGATGGGCACTGAGAGAGGCCCAGGGCTTGTTGTTCACGTCTTATCTTAATTGTTAGCTGTTTTATCCGGGGCTTCTGGGTAAAGACCCATGAGACTTGACAGCAGGGGCTTGAGCGGGTGCTTGTCCCCTGTCCACGGCAGCATTCTTCAAAAGCTGGAGGTGACCCGAACCCACCTGAGTAAGGGTGGACGGAGAAGCAGAATGTGGCCTGTTCATATCGTTGAGTGTTTCTCCACCTCACAGAGGAAGGCAGTTCTGATTCATGATGCACATGGATGAGACTTAAGGACTTCAAGCTAAGTGAAATGACAGTCACAGAAGGACAGATACTGTGGTTCCCCTTATGCCAGGTCTGTAGTCAAAACCAGGGACAGAAAGACTGATGGTTGCCAGTATCCAAGGAGGGAAAAATGGGGAGATGCTGTTTAAAAGAAGATCCCAGTTTTGCAAAATGAGGGGGTTCTGGAGGGGCTGGGGTCGTAGTGCAGTGATAGAGTGCTGCCTGGCATGCACAGGCCCTGGGTTCCCCCAGCAGCCCCCACCCCACACAAGGTGAGATGGTGATGGTGTGTACACTATTAGGGATGTATTTATTACCACTGACATGTACAATTAAAAATGGTTAAGATGGTTTGTTTTTTTTTTTTTTGGTGGGATTGAGCATTGAACCCAGGGGTGCTTTAACACTGAGCCACACCTCCAGCCCTTTTTATCTATTGAAACAGGGCCTCTTGAGGTTGCAAAGGCTGGCCTTAAACTTATGATTCTCCTGCCTCAGCCTCCCAAGTTGCTGGGATTACAGTTGTATGCCACCATGCCTGGCAATAATGAAACTAATTCTAAAAACAAAATCAAAAGGATTCTAATCACCATTGTTCTCTAAGCAGGGTGATAGAATTCATTTTATGGTGAACAAGCATTGCTTGCTAAATTGCTGTTTTGCTCACAGAGACCAGTAGGGTCTAATCTGGACCCCTGGGCCTCAGTAAAAGGCGGAGATTCTGCCTTCCCAGGTCCTCTGTGGTACACGAGGACATTCTTCTTGGGTCTGTGTCGCTTGGTTGAGCAGAGCCTTTTAAGGAGTTCGTGGACATGCAAGAGGAGGAAGGGAGCTGAGCTGAGTGTAGGCACCCTGCGTTGGAGTGCCTTGTGTAGTTAAGGAGGAGTCAGTTCAGTGATAGGTGGAGCTACGCTCGCCTTTGATCACCACCACCCAGATGCCTGGCAAGAACAGCTTAGAGGAAGAGTTTATTTTGGCTTATGGTTCAGAACACTTAGGTCCTATGGTCAGGGCCTCCTCTGCCCTTGGCCTGAGGAGAGGCAGAGCACTAGGTGGGAGGGCGGAGGCAGAGGACAGCTGCTGGGCTTTTGACCAGCCAGGTGGAGTTCCCAAGGGCAGGCCCCCAGTGCTCTTCTCTTCTAATCATGCCCCACCTGCCTGCAGTCACCACCCAATGAGTCCAGATCACTAATCCATCAACTGGATTAATCCACTGATGAGGTTACAGGTCTTAGTCCAGTCCTTCCACTTACTGTATATCCCAGCACATGGGCTTCTGGGGAACGTTCCTAGATCTAGACCGTAACAGAATAAGCCAATAATCAGTCAGAAAGCAAACTAGCAGCCGGGCACGATGGCACATACCTGTAATTCAAGCGGCTCAGGAGGCTAAGGCAGGAGGATCGCAAGTTCAAAGCCAGCCTGAGCAATTTAGTGAGGCACTAGGCCTCAGTGAGACCCTTTTCTCTAAATAAAATATAAAAAAAGGGCTAGAGATGTGACTCAGTCGTTAAGCACCCCTGGGTTCAATCCCCAGTAAACCCCCCCCCCCCAAAAAAAAAAAAATTAATTTGTAGGTAGTAAAATTGAGTGGAACCAACCTCCAGGCTTGGAGCTCCGTGTGAATACCGTGCATCAAGCACGGTGGTCTCTGCCCTGGCAGTGGGAGTGTTACGAGTCGCTCTTCCTACTGAAACGTTTGTTTTAAAGTCCATCTTAGTGAAGCTACATTATGTGGCAATCAAACAAGAATTCTAGCTGCTTCTGCAACACGGTGCTCCCGAGTGATACAAAAGTGATACAAAAGAATAATATTGTATTGCTAAAAATGTTGGTGGTCTTAGAAATAGCTATGTGTGAAGTAATGTCAAATTCAGCAGAGTAGAGGGTATGGGGAGGGGTCCAGCTTTTTTCCTACCATGTGCCTTTTTTCATGTGGCTCTGAAGTTAATACCACTTCATAAAACATTCATGCCACTTTAAGAAAACTGGACCAAAAAAACCAAAGGCCGAAATGTTTTCTCTGATGTGTGTGGATGCTGATCCATAATGGGGATGGGGGTGGGCATGGGGAGCAATGGAGGAACTTTAGATAGGGCAAAGGGGAGGAAGGGGAAGGGAGGGGCACAGGTAGGAAAGACTCCGGTGGAACGAGATGGACATCATTACCCTAGGTACACGTATGAAGACACCAATGGTGAGACTCTGCTTCGTATATCACCAGAGACATGAAAAATTGTGCTGTGTATGTGTACTATGAATTGAAATGCATTCTGCTGTCATAATTAAGTAAATCTAAAATTAAAAAAAGAAAAAACTGGACCAAGAAAACTTGACCTCATAAATTGGTCCATTCCGCAGTGGCTTGACGTGACCAGATCAGGACCAATACTTGGTGATACTCTTTAGATGAATGCTTGCTTTTTGAAGGTCAGATATAGCATGTCAGACTTTAGGGGACATGATTAAAGCAGTGCAGGCAGGACCCTCTATAACAGCTCAAGAAGAGCCCGAGGCACAGTGCCCGTGACAGGGTCCCCTCTATGAGCTGGGTCCGGGCAGCTCCTGGTGTCAGGTTGTCCATAGTGGTGCGAGCACCCCTCCACCCTATGCAGAACTTCACCTCCCAGAGTGAACCTGTGCTCCTACTGTGTTTTGTAGGTTTTCACAACAGGCGTGTTCCTAGTTATTAAGTGTTCTTCCACAACTAAATGGAATTACATTACATTACCTGTTTTTTTAAAAAATGGATGTCTTTATTTAGTTGTATTTCTATGTCTGCTCTGTGCAAGGCACTGCTGACGCAGCAGGAACAGCACTGGAGCACATGCCTTGCTCCAGCTAGCCAACCATGAGAGCCGGGGCCGTCAGTCCCATCAGCCTTGGTACAAAGGCCTCGGAAAAAGTGTGCGCTGCCTTCGCCAGCACAGGCCTGGTGGACTCTGCTGTGGAGAGGGGTGGTCGGGGAAAGTCTCGGACTGTGACAGTTCTATTCGTTTAGTCTTCCCTTAGTGATTTTTTTTTCTTTCTTTTTTTCAGGACTGCAGGAATATGTGGAAGCTGTCTCTTTTCAACACTTCATCAAAACACGGTCATTAATCAGTATGGATGAAATTAATAAAGAGTTGGTATTTACAACAGAAGACAGTGGGAAAGAAAATAAGACTGTGAGAACTTAAAATATTTCTCATTTGTATAGTATACATAATGGCTTAATGGTTGTAGGGGATGGACTGGCTCCATGTGGAGAAGATTGAGATGGGTATGATCCGTGTGATTTTAGATTCTCAGCCAGGGAAATAGAGCTTTTAAATGTTCTAGTTAGGGATAGAAGAGGAACAGCTTGGGGTACATTGGGAAAAGAAACACTCTTCTGCCTAAAGCAAGCACTGTCATTAGTTCTTTTATTAACCTTGTGAGACAAGAATTATAACCCCATTTTACAGAGAAGGAATTAGGCTTTTAAAGAATAGCTAACAAGAAATCACACAACAAGTAAGGCATGGTGGCTTGCTTCTGTGATCCCATCAGGAAGATTGCAAGTTCAAAGCCAGCCTCAGCAACTTAGTAAGACCCTGTCCAAAATTAAAAAATAAATAAATAAAAGGCCTGGGGTGTAGCTCAGTGGTTATGCCCTGGGTTTAATCCCCAGGACAAAAAAAAAAAAAAAAGCCACACAGCCAAGTGGCAGCACTGATATTTGAAACCAGGCATTTTGCATCCAAGCCTCTGTCTCGTCTCTGTGCCAGAATTTTTCAAAGTGGGCTGCAGTGGTCCCTTGTGCTAGGTGCTGCCTCAGAGCCTTGTTGGAGAGGCTTTGACCTCAAGCTTTGTAGTGAGGCCACATACATACTCCATACCCAAGGGATCCAGTGAAGTCATCGTTGCATAGTGAGAGCTCTGAATCACTTAGATCATGATGCTTGTGTCTGAATTTATGTAGCTCTTGTGAATTGACTTTTTGCAGGTAGTTTTTTTTTTAAATATTTTGTTTTAGTTGTAGTTGGACACAATACCTTTATTTTATTTTTATGAGGTGCTAAGGATTGAACCCAGCGCCCCGCACGTACTAGGCAGGCACTTTGCTGCTGAGCTACAACCCCAGTCCCTGCAGGTAGAATTTTTTTTTTTTTCTAGAGAGAGAGAGAGAGTGAGAGAGAGAGAATTTTAATATTTATTTTTTAGTTACCGGCAGACACAACATCTTTGTTTGTATGTGGTGCTGAGGATCGAACCCGGGCCGCACGCATGCCAGGCGAGCGTGCTACCGCTTGAGCCACATCCCCAGCCCCCTTGCAGGTAGATTTTTTTTAAACAAGCACTCTTTCTTTTTTCTTTCTGGATTTTAAGATAGAACACTGAGGCAACAGGGTGGGCCCTTTTTTCTTTTTGTTTGTTTTGGTTATTCCTGACAGTAGAATGTATTTTGACATATTATATATACATGAGTGCAACTTCCTGTTCTTCTAGTTATACTTGATGTGGAATTACACTGGTCATGTATTCATATATGAACATAGGAAAGTTATGTCCAACTCATTCTAGTTTCTCACCTATTCCTATTCCACTCCCTTCCCTTCATTCCCCTTTATCTAATCCAAAATACTTCTATTCTATGAGTCAACATCCACATGTCAGAGAGAACATTTAGCCTTGGCTTTTGGGATTGGCTTATTTTACTTAGCATGATACTCTCCATTTCCATCCATGTACCAGCAAATGCCATAATTTTATTCTTTAAGGCTGAGTAATATTCCATTGTGCACACCACATTTTCTATATCTATTCATCTGTTGAAAGGCACCTAAGTTGGTTCCATAGCTTGGCTATTGTGAATTGAGCTGCTATAAACATTGACGTGGCTGCCTTACTGTAGTATGCTGATTTTAAGTCCTTTGGGTATAAACTGAGGAGTCGGATAACAGGGTCAAATGGTGGTTCTATTCCAGGTTTTCTGAGTAATCTCCATACTGCTTTCCGGAGTGGTTGCATCAATTTGCAATTCCACAGGGAGGGCCATTTTGAATGATGTACCTTTTGATGTAAAATTGTGACATAAACTTCTGATAAAATTTGTTTCCCTTTTTTTGCCTTTTCCCCCACCTTTTATTACTTTTAGCACCAGAGAGTCAGGATAGGCAGGTGGGAGGTGGAAGGAGCTGCAGTAGTAGCCTTCCTGTAGATCAGCTGGAAGCTAGTCTGACACAGGGGCCAATGTGGCATGACTGCCGGGCCTTGAGGACGACACGGGCTGCTCTGCGCTGCGCTGCAGTGTGTGACACCGACTGAGGAGCTCCGCTCCGACCAGTGAGGCTCCTGCCTGCTGGCAAAGGGTGGATGAGCTGCCGTGAGAAACAAGCGACCCGCTTGACCCTGCTTCTTAGTGCCACCTGGGATTGCCACAGCCCCCTTCCTGCTCCCTCCTCCCCAGACAGGAGTGTCCAGGGAAGCAGACAGACTGGGAGCAGAGTGCCTGCCGTGCCACTGGCACCAGGTTGTTTCAGGGTGTGGTGCTTGTCGTCACATGCACTGTCAGGTTGCCGAGCCACGTTCCTAAATGCATTTCCTTTTAATGTTGAGGGTATTTGGTGATGGGATTTGATAGGGTAGGTATTGTGCTCTAGTTTGCCTCTTGAGGATATTGTCAAACTGACTTTATTTAAAAATTACAAAGTTTCAAGCATACAGAACAGTACAGGGTAGAAACAAAGTGAGGGCCCTGTGCCCACAAGCAGGACTCAGTGGTTGTTAGCATTGTGACATATTTGCATTTTCTAAATGTTTTTAATTAAGCCATTGTAAAGCAAATTAGCAATATCATGGTATTTCACCCTAAATACTATAGTATCCATCTTGAAAAAATTATACTTTAAATTTCTTTTCTTTACTAATAATTTTCAGGAAGATATTGCTGCCAATTTGTTGAAGTTTGTTAATTTTTAAATCATGCTTCTTTTTCTAAAATCAACTTATTTATAACCTCCATATCATGGTAGAAACAAAGAACTAACATTTTCCTTAAGTTTATTTTATGAGTGGCTTGTGAAATAAATGTACTCCTCTCCACCCCCCACCCCCAGCCTGCTTTTCTAAAAGGTGCCAGTCTCTGATAGGAACATGGCAGGTACTCATGATGTGATTTTAAAGGCATCGGAATGATTGGGAAGCCAGCTTTGGATACATACCATTTCTGTTACCGCCCCAGCCCTCTCACCTCTGCTGATTCTTGGGCCACGTTCCTTTGCTGTGTGATAAGGAAGGGGACAGATGGTCTCTGAGGAGCAGCGTTGGGATTCCTGCACTGGCTGCACAGCAGCCACATTGATCGTGATGAAAGCAGGTTGGGCTCTGCCGTGTCCTTAGTCACTTCTCAGAGACTCTTCATCACCTCTAAGAAAAGATTCCTTGATGTGACATTGAATCCCATCTGTCTTCTGGCCTCAGCCTGCCCTACTCCTTACCTTAAGTTTTCCTCAAAAGAAATAGTGCACTAGTTCATCAGGTTATATAAGCACAGTTCTTACCTGCCCACCTGTGCGGTTCCCGCTTCCTACAGTCTCGGCTGTAGTTGCACCGTCACCTAGCCAGGGCTCATACAGTTTATAGTCTGACCTCACCACTACAAAGGTGATCTGGAAGAGAGAGAGTGATGTGGAGAGAGGGTTTGCACGTGGATGCTTGCTGCCAGCACTGAGTGTGTACTTGTGTTGGAGCATTGTGTTGAGGATGGGGTCAGTGCTGTCTCATTTAATCCATAAAATAAATCTCTGAGAGGGTCCTGTTATCCATATTACAGATGAGGAGACTGAGGTTTTAGATGAGATAATTTGCCAAGGGCATACACCGAATGCAGAAAGGTGCTGGAAGAGGTGGGAGGAGATGCCGCGAGATCCTTGGAAGTGTTAACCTCAAAGCAAGAGGGACCACTGGCCTGGAGGAGGGAGGGCGAAGCATCTGGGGGTGCAGTGAGGCTCTGTTGGCAGGAGAGGTGGTGCCATGGAGTAGGCAGCTGTACTGATACCAAGAGGCTTGGGGTAGAGGGGGTTGCTCAGGGGAGTTAAAGGTTTGAGGAGTATTTGAGGAGGCTGCAGAGGGAACCACCAAGGAGCGCTGAAAGAACTAGTGAGTAATTCCTAGCGGAACACATTCCACGTGGGTGTGATCGCTGCACTCGTCCTCCCCAGTAAAGGGTCCACGGGTAGGTTTTAGTATTGATTCCAGGTTCTGATTTCATAGGCTGAGTGCAGGAAGGGCACAGGAGTGTGAGAGAGCCGGGGTGCTGCAGCGAGAGGCCCCCAGTCATGGTGGTTGATTTTGAGTGGAGAGGGGCCGACTGGCTTGGGAAGGCTGTGTAATTGTCGGTTGAATGGCGATTTTCGTGCTGCCAGATCATGAGGCCATGTTGAAGAACACTTTCCTCTGTCTAGTCAAGCTGGAGGCAGTTGGTCTTCCTGGGGCAGTATGTATCTCAGCACCCTGGGCCTCTGGTCACTCTTTCCCAGGCCACGGGCAGGTTCCTCTTCCCTAGCACAGGTGCTGCGTTCCACTTGGATACAGTGGACTGGGGCGGCTGGGTTCCCGCATATGCGCTCTCCAGTGTGCTTTCTTTGTGTGCATTGCTTTCTGTTTTTTGTTTTCTAGCCCTCCTTGGATGCACAAGATAAGCATCTTGTCACTTGGAAACTGAAAGTCACACCTGTGGATTACCTTCTGGGAGTGGCCGATCTAACTGGAGAATTGATGCGGATGTGTATTAACAGTGTGGGGAATGGGGACATCGATACCCCCTTTGAAGTGAGCCAGTTTTTGCGCCAGGTGTACGATGGGTTCTCCTTCATTGGCAACACTGGGCCTTATGAGGTCTCCAAGAAGCTGTACACCCTGAAACAGAGTCTAGCCAAAGTGGAGAACGCTTGTTACGCCCTGAAGGTCCGGGGCTCTGAGATCCCAAAGCACATGCTGGCAGACGTGTTCTCGGTGAAGACAGAAATGCCTGATCAAGAGGAGGGCATCTCCTAGAGCAGCGTCCCTGGCTGATCCCAAGAGACCAGTTTGTAAGACTGTCACTTAGCATTTCACTGGACTTTGTTGTGGCATTGGCCTTGAAGTGTTTTCAGTTGTTTGTCTTCTCAGTTGTACGCACACTGTACATACAGTTTTCAGCTGAGGCCCTCTTATCATTTGTGCAAGTGTGGGCACAAGCGTTTGCATGTGTGCCTGTTTGAGATCTCTGCTGGCTGACCTTCACCATTTATCTGTGCTAGGTAAACGTGCTTTGTATTGCTTTTTCTGCGGTACCCCTTTTAATGTACTTGGTGTGAATGTTGTGGTGATCATTTTTAGTGGCAGCCATTGTAAGTTGGTGGTTTTGTTTTAGATAGAAAAGATTTCTTAGTTGCACTTCTGGACCTGAACTTCCACACCTCCAGAACTGGCTCCATTCATGGAGCAAGGAGTAAAAACTAATAACCTGTCAACATTGTAAAATTATAAATTTTGAGGTATTTTTGTGAGAATTTGTATAAAGTTCTGGCTAATTTTAGGCCGTTTTGAGTTTATAGCCTTCCAGAAAAAAATGGACAAATGCCCAGATATTAGTGTCTTCACTGTTTTGTTTTCTGCCGTGCTGGGGATGGACCCAGGGTTGTCGTGACAGGCCAGCGCTCCACCACTGAGCTACATCTCCAGCCCCTCCTCATTTTTTTTTCCTTTTGTTGTAGAAGATATGGTGGGGAATTGGAGCTAATATTTTAATGTTTTCAGCGGTTAAGCTGAATTATGTATGTGTATGTAACTAACAAGCTTTTAGTGAGTATTTAGCGGGATTTTCCCCCTTGCCAATATTAGAGGCATGTTTGAAGACTTTCCTGTTCTAGCATCTATTAGAAATTACATTTAGGTAATTGCAATGAAATATTGAAACACTCGAGTTGATCCCAACTTTTAGAGTTGTCTGTGGCATTGGTAAAGTTGCCAAAGAAGATGCGTGGTGCATAGTTGGGCAGCTGAGAATGGCGGTGTGGTCTCCGATGCTCCTCAGAGGTGGAACTGCCCTGAGTGAAGTGACTGGAGCGCTGGCTTAAGATCTAGTTACTGGGTTTTGTTTTGGGAAAGGTCATCTCCGCTGGTAAGAGCTAATCCTTGACAGTGTCCCTTTTCGAACAGTGTCACCTAAGTGGATGGAGGTCGAGGGACCTGGTGCAGAGGCTGCTACAAGGTGGGTGGTCCTGCGCCAGGGCACCGTTGTATGGAATCAGCTCCTCTGCACACTCTTGTTACTTCTGCCATTTGAATTTAAATAAAAATAAAATGGTAATGGATTGATGAATGTTTTACAGATGTTTAAAATAAGTCTTTTGAATAAAATAAAGAAATTAAGCTCACTGCTTTGATCCTATTGAGAAATACTTAAAGTTTAGGACTTCTGTTGAAACAGGAATCCTGATCAGACTAGCTGAATATGGCGGGTTGTCATTTCTAAAGTCAGTCCAGAGGTGGGGAGGTGTCCAGGTGGTTCACTCGGAAGCTCAGCGACACTCCCCTCAGGTTGTGTCCCCCTTGATGGTGGTGTAGAGAGACCATGGAGATGCTGGCCCAGGGCTGACTTCCACAGCTCCCACAAAGGAGGCCGTCCCTTCTCGTCACATTGATCCACGCCAGCTAAACAGCTAAACCACTCCTGTGAACTGGTTCCTGGAGAGGGGAATGGAATGACCTTCGAAGGTGAGGGACTGGCTCAGACTGTCAGAAAGGAAGTGGCTTCTGGGTGGGTGGCCAGAGCGACTCTTGCAAGTGGATAAGAGCCCTTGCTGCTGCTGTGTCCCTGGGGTCCCTGATGTGGAAAAGACTGAAGTTGAGCCATTACTTCAAATCATATCCAAAATTTAACTTAGGATGAAAAACTAAAATATAAGAGCCCAAACTACACAGTTAAGAAGGAACAAGTGCACATTTTGTAGTGTTTTGATAAGGTGGTGGTTTCTTAGTGTACCCGACATACATAAGCATCCAATTAGAAAAATAAGTAGACCGCCACCAAAGTAAAAAAACTTGTGTGACCGAAGGACACTTGAGAAAGTGCAAAGACATCCCAAATGGGAGAAAGTATCTACAGATCAGAGATCTGATCAGGGCCTCGAATCCAGAATACAGTAGGTCTTACAACCCAGCAAAGACAAAGGAAAGACGAAGACCACCAGTTCAGAACTGGCAAAGGATTGGCAAAGACAGCTTGAAAGATGACAGATAGCCAAAGGTCCATGAAAAAGGTTCAGTTTTGACATGGGTCAAGTTGTGAGCTGCCATCTCACCCTCATAAGGACAGCTACAGAACGTGGAGAGGTTGGAGCTACGGCGTCAGCAGGCATGTAAACGCAGCCACTTTGGAAGTGGGACAGTTCCTCAGAAAACTGAGCAGATCCCCGCGTGACCCACAATTCCACTTCTAGTAGAATTGAATCTCAAAGAGCGTTTTACAAATGTCCACAGGGGCAGGAACTTGCTATAGTGTTTCGGGAAGTGTGAACTAGTACTAGTGGGTGGGCAGGAAGACTGCCCCCAGGCAAGTGTGGAGTTTGTTGTTGGGGTGATGGAAGTGTCATTGGCCACAGGGATGGCCACAGCCTGGGAACAGGGAAACCAAGGAGCTGCTCACTTTCCACGAGTGAAATTTATGAGTTTATCTCAAAATGGTATCTTTTTACAAAGATTGGTTTGCTCCTTGAAATTTTGCTAGAAACTTGTGAAACTGTTTGGGCCTGGTGTCTTGCTTGTGAGAGAGGAGATTTCTTTCTTTTCTAAACCCATTTCTTCAATTCCTTGAATGGCAAAGGACTGCAAACTTCTCATCGCTTCCTGATGGAAGTGTGGTAAGTTTGGCTCTTCCCAGGGTGAGTCCATTTTCTCCCTGGTTTCTGATTTGTTGTCACACATTGGTTGTGTTCTTTTACCATGTTTATTTCCTGACTACATCTGTAGCCATAGCATTATTTTTGTTATCCCTCAATATACTTGGTATGTGTGTGGTTCTGGGGATTGAACCTAGGGTTTTGTGCATGCGAGGCAAGCACTGTGCCAACTGAGCTATGTCCTCAGTCCCTCAATACACTTTCTAAAGTTGGTTTTGTGAGATGTTTCTCCTTTATTTTGGTCTTTTCAAAGAACTAACTTTTGCCATGTTTATTTTTTAATAGTCTGTGTTTCCCAGTTTGTTCTCATATTCTTATTTTTATCTCCTTCCACTTTCTTTGGGTTTATTTTCTATTTTAAAAATAGTTTTTATATTTGTAATTAGTCTTTTTCAGACTTTCTCACTGGGTTTTTTTTTTTTTTTTTGGTATTGTTATATATTAGGTGTCCCCTAAAAGCTCATGTGTGAGATAGTGCATGAGGGTTTAGAGGAGAAATGATTGGGTTGTGAGAGCCTTATAACCCGATCAGTGCACGAATCCCCTGATGGGGATTAATTAGGTGGTGACGAAGGCTGGTAGGGTGTGGCTGGAGGAGGTGGGTCCCTGGGGTGTGCCTTTGGAATATAAATTATGTCCTTGTTGAGCACAGCTCTTTCTGCTTCCTGGAAATGTCCTGAGCTGCTTTGCTTCACCACACTTTTCCACCATGATGTTCTGCCTTATCTTGGGCTCTGAGGAATGGAGCTGGCTCTGTGGACTGACACCTCTGAAACTATAAGCCCTCAAATAAACTTTCCTTCTTTAATTATTCTTTTCAGGTCTTTCAGTCACAGCAGCAGAAAAGCTGACTAAAACAAGTACCAGACTGGGGATTGAATCCAGGGCCTCATGCATACTGGGCAAGCATTCTACCACTGAGCTACGCCCTCGGCCCTTTTTCTCATTTTAAGACAGGGTCTTGCTAAGTTCCCGAGGCTGGCCCTGGAACTTGTGATCCTGCTGCCTCAGCTCCTGAGTTGCTGGGATCACAGATGTGGCCACCATGGTCTTGAACACTAGTTTCAGGATTAATTTTGATAAGGGCTTTTAGAGTGGTTATGAATAAGACGTGGTCTCAAGCAATCTGCTTTCACTGTGGGTTGGATTGATCTACTTTGAGCTCTTAATTTTAGATGACTAAGGACTTTTTTTTTTTTTTTTTGTAGTTGTAGATGGACAACATGCCTTTATTTTATTTGCATATGTTTATAATGTGCTGAGGATTGAATCCGGTGCCTCGCACGTGCTAGGCAAGTGCTCTGCCACTGAGCTACAGCCCCAGCCTGACTTTATTGGTTTTGCTCCAGAATTAGGTTCTTGGCTGGCCTTCCAGGCTGACATTGTGTTCCTGCCTGATCTAGCTATGAATTCTGTTTTCTGCTGGTATCTTCTTTGTCTTGTTCCTTTTTTTTTTTTTTTATGTTTTGTTAACTTTTATTCAACAAAAATAACAATATATAAAGAACTGTATCAGCAGTTCTATAAGTTGAAAAGATGAGTAAAACTCTTGACCAGACTCAGAGGAGTTTACAGTCTAATATCTGTGAGAGATGGACATATGCTCATGGCTTAAGATGGCCAGATCAGTTCCATTGGGTGAATAAAATAAGGAACTGTGGAGCAAGTAGAGTTCAAACTGAGACTTGTAGAATGGGCTCAGTTTGTCAAATGAAGACACTAGTGGGAGGTTTTCTATGTGGAAGAGGTGACTTGAGTATAAATACACTTTGTCTCTTGATAATCTTTCCAAAAGTCTGTTCAGAAAGATACTATTGACTTCTTGTAGGAGTCCGTAATTTTGAATGAACATTGAATTCTTGTAGAAGTCTGTTAATTTTAAACGAACACTCTGATTCTTTTATCGAGTGCTCAGTTTGTTGTGTCCAGAATTCAGGAATGTTTGGCATCTGCTGCAGCCCAGAGTAAACTCTGTTGTTGTCACCCTGGGGCTTGCTGGCTTCTCGGGAGCAGTATGCACATCTGTTGATTTCTGGTCTGCAGTGGCTCCCGCGCAGTAGATGAGATCTGGTTCATATGGTTGGTGAGGTCCAGGTAGGTCAGTGTACTCTCAGTGGGGTTACAGATAAGACCATTAAACTGAGACCCAGATGTCTGTCTGCCAAGCTCTTTGCAGTTGATAGATAGCCTGTTCCATATGATATGATCTCACATTTGCAGCCCATAATCTTTTTTTTTTTCTTTTAACTGTAAGACTTACAAAGTTTTTACATGACTTGTACATTACATTCCAACCCACCAGTTCACAATAGCATTACCTTTGTCTAAAAGTGCATTTGTAGAAATTCACTTGATTCTCACAACCTTGAGGAAGGCAGGATCTGGTAATATCTCTCCCAAACACACAGCTTTTTATCCTCCCTTTTAATAAGTAGCGTAGCTAAGATCTGTAGAGGATAAGCACCTTGCCCACTGTTGTCTCCCATGTGTGAGATGTGGACTTGGGGTTGGGAGCCACGGCTAATGGAGCAGAGACCGTGGCTGCTCTTGTCAGCACAGTTCTGGCTCTGCCGACCTTGGGCAGGTGTGCCTTAATCATGGCGTATTCTTTCCGAGCCTCATTTTTTCTCATCTGTTGAGGAGTATTTGCCCTTCTCAAGTGTTTTCATGACCTGCCTTATCTATGTGACGTGCATTACAGGCATGAGGAACCCAGGAGTGTAACTCATTGAA